CATTTCGGCGGGGTGCTTAATTAATTTCACCATGTATTTCAGTGTGGATTGTCTGGTTTATATGGCAACCCAAATCGCCTCCGGAATGAAATATTTAGAAACGAAACACGTCGTTCACAAGGATTTAGCGGCGAGGTAATTAATTTTGATTTGTTTTTAATCCGTGCGTAAATAAGATTGCTCTAATTAAAGGAATTGCCTCGTTGGACGTGGGTACTTAATTAAAGTTGCCGATATCGCGATGTGCAAAGTACAGTATAAAAAAGATTATGCGGAAATCGGAGGTCGACCACCCGCCCCTATTCGATGGCTACCCTGGGAAAGCATTCTTCTGGTAATTATGCTTTATTTGTTGTTTTCCCTTTTCAGCAAGAATATTTTCTTTCTTTGCCACTTTTGTGCGAACGTTAGCATCCGTTTACGATTTGAGCGCTATATCCCGACTCTTACTTTGAATTTATTTTATCTTTGGGAATGTAAAGGGAATTCTAATCCAAAGAATAACTGAACACAATTTCTATGCTATTATAGAAGTAATTGTCCATGTACCCAATGTGGAAAGATAATTTTCTCATCGATCAGGTAATGAGATTAATGCCAAAATGAGCAACTAGAAACCATCAATTAATATTTTCTGTAACTAGAAACAAAAACAGTGTAATAGAGTATAACATTATAAATAACTAAGTTCAACCAGTTTAGTACCTAACTACTGATTGTAAGTACATTAGTCCTTTCAAACAAACATAGACACTTGACTTAGCTAATAATAATAATAAACTCCTTTTTATTATTTCAGGATCGGTATTCTTGCTCAAGTGGTGTGTGGTCGTTTGCGGTTACACTTTGGGAAATATTAAGTTTCGCGTGTGAGAAACCCTTCAACAATCTCACCAATGAGAAGGTTATCCAAAACGCCGAGTACATGTACTATGGGGGTGAATTACAGGTAAGAAGTCCACGGTTTTTGCGGTCATTTTTACCGAATTCCAGGTGTTTCTGAACAAACCTCCCCTTTGCACGACGGAACTGTACGACCTCATGTGCGAATGTTGGAGAAGAGACGAAGCGACGAGGCCGACATTTAAACAAATCTATTTATTCCTAAAGCATTGCAATAAGGAATACAATCCTACGGAATGATGCGATGAGCATTAAACGCATAGCAAAATTGTACATATCAACTAGTGCACCGTAACAACCACCGCGCTCAAATCGTCAAGGTACTCAGATTCAACTTGATTTCGATCGAAAAGGACTTTTTACCATTATACGCCTACTCACATCGCTTAGTGTACAAACTTGTATTTTCACGGTTTGCAAAAAAATTCGTTCCACATCTGGGAGATGCTTCAATTATTTCAACATCAACTTCTTTAATTGTAAAGGGAAATGAATGAACGCGGTCTTTGGTTAAGTACTGCATAACATCATGCCTTCAATTGAATGAAACCAGGAAATGCAAACTCGTCATATCAGGGTAGTCGCAACCACTATCTTGCTAGCACTAAGAGTGGTGCAAATTAGAATACACTGATTAGATTTTCTGTATCATTAAAAAAGTGTTTCCAAAGATAAGATAGCCTGAGCTACAATTACAAGCATAAATAGTAATTTTTCTTTAGTTACTCCGATAAATAAACATTGGTGTATCAAATTTGCAAAAAAAAAACGGGTAGCAGAAATATGAAATAGCGGGGTGTGTAATCGAAATGTACACTGGATCAAAGAAAATGTGGTGTGGTACCTGTATATAAAGAAACGGACCAAAGAAGGAAGAGAACTCTATTGTAAAGTTTCTGTAAATAAAATTTTAAAAATTAAAGTAGTTATTAATACTACCATATTGACAATGTATATAATTTTATACCACTTTAGTACAACGATTTAGGAATATAAACTTTTTGATTGACTCTCGTGATTCACATAGAAATGAATTCGTTTAGTTTTTAGATTAAGATTTAATAATTTCTTTTGAGGAAGTGCGTAAAAAATCATAGTTATAATTGCACTGATTTCGATGTAAATTTATTATTATTAACCATTCGTAAGGTAAACAAGGAACAATCGACACAAATAACTATTACCAGTTTTAATCATTTCGGATTCTATGTAAGTACTATGTTATTAACTGCGAATATGTTAACCTAAAGTCTGGCCGTGTCTATTTTTTTAATATATCAATTGTACAGTATCTTTAGTCGCAATGTTCGATTTTATTTTTGAAAATGTGTAATAAATAAAAACATCATTGATTTATGAGATCTTTTTGTAGCAGTTTCGTAGGTTCATCGACGCTGTGCTCAAGTAGGTACATGCTGGGTCAATTAAACAGCAAGACTGAAAGCTTTTACATAGGGATTAAGTATTCAAGACCACGTTTCAGCTAAAATTTTAACAATATTTGCAATTTAGTAGAAAATTAACTCACCCGTCGAATTTCAATGCTACGATGGCGTGGGAGATCATAAAACAAACAGTTTTAATTTATTTAGGCAGATCCAATTATAAATAACTGCAATTTTTACTGAGTTTTCCAACAATGAGACTGTTTTATAGTAATTAAATAATGTAAAATTGAGTAAACTAAACTTAATGCTAGTAAAGTGCGTTACATGATCACTGTTAACGTTTAAAAATAAAACGCATATCTTTTCCCTTAAATCCATGCACCTACCTAACTGAATAATATGACTGTTGAAAAACTCCCGAATTGGATCATGTATATTTTAATAGATTTCATGCAGATCGCAAAGTAGCTACCTATCTACCCTTTGCAAATCAAAATCTCTTATACTTTCGATTATATATGAGACATTCAAGGAAATGGCCAATTTTAGTTTTTTTTAATTTACGTCGAATCTATTCGATATTTAGAACTTCCACAAGCAAATTTTAAATAAGCATCTAAAACTGCAAAACATTGTCCATTTAACCAATTCTCTATCTTTAATAATAAGAAAGTTACCTATGCAATCGCACCCGATTTGGAACACAATTGTATATTGGTTGTCCAATATGATTATTAATTTGATTAGTTTTATATTCTTGGCATATTTTTCATGAATAATACTAATTTTATTAATTCTATTCGTTTGTCCGAAGGTTTTAGGTTTCGGCACTCATATCTGAGACCGTAGTTCACATAATAATGTCTACTTTTGCGGAAAATGTTGTATTTTATAGCTGACGTCCCATAGTCGGTTTTAAGATGTGGATGGAGGAATGAAATAATGTTTTTTTCAAAGTTGGATCATGCGTGCCAAATTTAAGAAGTAAGTATGCGTATAGTAATCCAAACATTCTTAACAACAAAGCTCATCAGTAAACAAGTAAAGGGTGGTAATCGTGCATCAATGATGGTAGTTTTGTATATTAAAGTATTGTAGTGTCTTTTTTTCCAGAAACCGTCATAAAACCTTCATTTTCATGCGTACTTTCTACTTTATGTCAGGAAATTTTCGTGTCCATGACAGTAGCAGTAACACTTTACCGGACTTCCTGATTCTTGTGACTTAACCACTTTACTGCTGCTAAATGTTAATAAAAAGTTCTATATGAAAATGGAAATTTCGGGAAAAATATAACACAAAACTCGTCAGTAAATTAAATAAAACTCAACTAGAATTCCTGAGATTTATGTAAATAACTAATGTTTGATATACCCTATAAATTATTCCAGTTCTCATTAAGAACGTGTGAGAAATAGCCTTGAGCACTCCACATGAGTGCGATAGATAACAATTTTGACTCAATTAGATCAGAAAAAAAAGCTTACGTTGGGTCCTACTAACCTTGCGTTGGGTCAACCCTTCATAGTTGCCAGGGCAACTCTAAAAGTAAGTACCTACTTGGAAAAAAATAAAACAATAACGCATACGTAGTTTTCGAAATAAAAATGAAATTCCTAACGAACTTTGCGATGTAAATAAATTATAATTATTTTTTTACGGACACTACGATGCCGAGTTGTGTACAAGAGAAATTCTTTTCAAGTCTGTCGCTCAATTTGATTTTACTTTAGACTGAAAAGCGAAACGGATGTTTTGAAAAAATGTCCCTCCCTTAACTCAAATTCTGTAGGATATGATGGTATCAGTCTGTGTACTGTGAAATATCGGGATCCCGCAGCATTTTTGCGAGATTAATCCCTCACATAAATGGAGCGGGATTTGCGGGACTGAGGAATTTGTCGACTAAGGGGACGACTCTGTTTACTTTGTTAATGAAACTGATAACGGCGAATTATTTTTTAAATAATTGTTCAACTTTTTCGTTAAAAATGTACTATGATTATTGAGGCACTTTAGAAGATTTTTTGTGCTTTACAGGTAAGGTTTTTTTGAGTTTTAAGTTAGGCCGAAGGTACTTTTTTGTTAAATATTGTGATAATTAACGATTTATTTTAATACAGAAGTTAACCGCACAAAATTGCTTATTTGCCAATTTATTTAAAGTTTTGCGAGATCCCGCAAATACCGGGATTGAGATTTTGCTGCGGGATTGCATTCCCTAGTCCGCACTGTTAAAAGCGCCTTAAAAATAGGCAAACCACGTAAAATACCCTAAATAAATTCTCCCTGGGAATTTGACAATTCCCTTCAACCTTCCTAGATGTAAGAAAATACAAAACAAACCCTGGACATACATTTTTGACTCATTTTATGGGCGGGTATTGAAATGCTACCTTGCGCTTAAGAAACCCGCTATAGCAAGTGCGTTCCGAGGTTGCGGGGGTGGCGGCATAGCTTAGGGTGTCTAGAACATCCTCTGAAAGTTTCATAAAGTTATCACAAAATGCAAGGTTGAAACCTATTTTGGCTCTTAATCCCTGCACTAGTATGTATAAATCTATTGCATTAATGAAAACCATATTCATTATGATGAAACTTGTCTCCGATTAAAGAAGTTTAGCACCTCCGAATTTTTTTATTGTAACTTTAATCCAAAATTTTTCTAATGTGATAAATGAAATCGAAGGTGACTACAATAAACCCACACGTGAAATTGGTAAATGCTCTCCCAGTTTAAGACAAATAATAAGAAAAATGCAATTTAAAAGTAACTGATAGCCATATCAAGGATAAGTAGCTTGAAACATATGCGTAAATTGTTATAAATTTTACGAAGTAACGTTTGGCTCATCTGTAACATAATATACAAAAAGCTCTCTTTTACAAAACCAATCCATGACATAGTCTTACCGTATAATAATACTCAATTCGCTTATCCAACAAGCCCCCTCCGTAATTTTGAGTCCTTTCATCCATTTGTTTGCAACTCCGCATTTTGAAACTACCTAAATCCGATTGCAGCATAGAGATAAAGGACATAAATTTTATTGCTTACGTTTATTTTTACAAACCATTGATTTTATATTGTAAACTATAGTGTTGGGTTTACAATCCAAACACTTAAATTTCGTGGCGACACCATCCTTTGGCGACTCTTTGAGGTAACTTTCTGCATCGCTCCCACCTCTGCTGCGCGGTGATTCAAAACTAATTTTGGGTAATGATATCGTGCCATTGTGACGTATTTCTTCGAAATTCTCATCGAAATACCGGAGTTTTTGGTCAGGTAAAGTATTTACCGAACTCAAATCGTTATATTCCTCGATACTTTTGACAGGAACAAGATTTAGGCCGATATTACTAAGCGTAAATGTGTTGTTTGCTCTCGGTGCGAATTTCGGATGACAGTACAGGGTTTCAACTTCCATACTTCGCAAATCATGGTTAATTTGCTTGTAAAATTCGGCTGACGGTGGTTTCATTATTTTTTCCAGACCCGTTTTGACTTTTTTCTCCTTCTTGGTCATCTCGACGAGGTAGAGATAATTACGAAATAATTTCGATGCTGTCTTTCAATACTTTTGACGTTGTCGCTACTTTGTCTACTAGATTCCTTTCAATGCCCATAATTTTAACCGATTGAATGTACATGGGTGTGTGTGTAAATTAAGACTTTACTTCCGCTTGTCACTTCTGACTTCATTGTCGACTTACCCAACAGACTTAGGGGTCTACAGTGTCAATAGCTTTCAAACCTTTCTTCTTCGGACAACAATCGTGTTCAAAACATTCTTCTTTTGCGTATTTCTTAGCCGCGTTTATCAAAATAAGCTCTATTCTATAACGGCTATTAATTCCTCAGCCTCACAATGATTTCAATGTAGAAGAATAAGAAGATTTTCGCAATTTATTATGCTGTAAGCGCCTTAAAACAAAACTCTAGAATTCCACCTTTCATATTTGTTTATTTACTTTAGTTACACAATTTATACCTTTGGTTATTTCAAGATGAGTTGTGCCTTCACTCCCGGTGGAATACTGTGAGGGTTTTGCTTTAGTCCCTTAGTATTTGTAGGGTGTGTTGAGCGTTTCTTCTCACACATGTTGCCCTCGTGGTTGATGTGTTCCCTTCATGTAATCATGTTATGCAGATTGACTGTTGACTCGACGATTTGCCGTAGTTAGCGGAGAGTTTGTCATTGGAATATGATTCAAATATCACCTAAATACTTAATAAAAGTTAAAATGTACTATTACAACTAACTAACTAGTGTTAAATTGCCTATGCAGTATAGCACAAGAATTTGCCGTGGCTAACACAGATACCATCCGCACACCTGCACATGCGTACAGAGAAACAGATCGATAGACCGCGACATCATGGAAATTTTGTTTGATTTGGATTCCTGATACTTCAAAACCTTATTTCCGTAAAAAAAAGGGACTGGTCATGTATTACTCCAATCCAATGCCTCCCTTACTAATCTGCGGGTGGTAAAAAAATGAAAGTTTGTACGCATTATTAGAGATACAAATATTTTCGTAATAAGTGAAAGTTCATCAACTTCCAACGATTACTGTATTATGCGTAGTGAATTACTAAAAACATTTTAAATAATTACGAAACGTTACAATGTAACGATGGCTTAATTTTTTCTCGTTAATACATTTTACCCCATGTTGAAATATTTCATTTGATACGCCACTGCCACGCTTTTTAAATACTGGGATTTTATTTAACTGATGGGACTTAACCTCAAAATGTAAACAAACTAACCTTTAATTTCACATGGCTAGAAACACAGGGAAACATGCACAAAACGCAGCGTATAATTAGTTTTCAAATTGAGTACCTGAATAGTTTAGTGGCGGATGAAACCTCCTCCGTAATTGTGCAAGAACAACAATATCACTTGGCTCTTCATCCGTACCACTTAAACAACATAAAGCAGTCAATTAAAGATCTACTATCGCAGAAAATCGCCAGATACGACCAGAAGTAAATACACAAACTTGGTAATTCCTCATTAAATTCGCTTAATTGCAGATTAGGTGGCATTTTATTGGGATTCGAGAACACCAAGCTGCTAACTGAAGGTGTGATAATGAACGACAGCTGCTTTATTCACATTGATGTTAGTGCAAACTTTTTCATATTCAAGCCTGAAGTAGGACAGATTCTTGTGGGTGTTGTAAATAAAAAAAGTAAGGACCACGTAGGTTGCTTACTCTACAATACTTTTAACGTATCCCTCCCGAAACCCGAAGATCAAGATGTTGAAAGCTGGTCGGGTACCTACAGTGAGATAGGTAACGAAATCAAGTTTAGAATCACCTTTATGAAGCTGCAAGCACGCCTGCCGTACATTCGCGGTCAATTAATGTTAGTAGATTACTTATATGTACCTTTCATTTATTTTAAATAATTTTAGTGATGAAGACAGCCCAAAAAGGAAGAAAAACAAAATTTTAACAGTGGTCGCAGAGGAAACCCCAACAACATCCAAAAAAAAGAAAAAGAAAAAAGATGTAGACTTGGATGAAGAATATTTGCCAAACGGATTTGGGTCATCTGAAAGCTCAATAAAAACCGAAATAAATGATACAAGTGTAAAAGAATCAAAGAAGCGGAAAAGGGAGAGTATGGAAGAATCTCCTAAAAAGAAAAAGAAGTTGGAGCAAATGGAAGATGGCCATAAGAAATCCAAAAGGAAAAAGAGCATAAATGAAAATGAGTTTAACATAAATGAAAAACTAAAACAAGAGAATGATAGCGAACTCTCAGATACTCCCAATTTAGATATAGACATATCAATTGATAATTTAATTTCTAATGAGCTTTCAAACCGGTCACATAAAAAAAAGAAGAGAAACAAAGGGGATACACTTGAAGTTGTGGGGGATGCCGATAGTTTAGGTCAAAACACTGTAATATCTAAAAAGAAAAGGAAGCGCGCAGATTAATATAAATATTGGATAAATTTATTGTGTTATGAAAAAATTTTAGAAATATATACAAACATACATATATTGTTTTTCTTTCAACAATAGGTAGGGGTTTACAAAAACAAATCAAAAGTTATGGACTAGAAACCAATTTCGAAAGAAAATTCAAAGGGCTGTAACTTTTGAATCAGTAGCCCAATCTTTTAACTGTTTGAAATTATGGATTCTACAGGCCACATTCTAAAAGAAAATTTTTTTCCCGGGACGATCTGAGACAATTTTTTTTTCGGCCTCAAAAAAAGGCAGTGTATAACCTTCCTTTTTTACCAAAAATCGACTACACCAAAATTTCTCGGGAAAACACTTTTTCTTATTAATTTTGGTGCGTAGAATCTAAAACAATTCGTACTTTTTCGATTAGACTTCTCAATCAAAAGTTATAGGCTAGAAACCAATTTCGAAAGAAAATTCATTGGGCTGTAACTTTTGAACTAGTAGCCCAATCTTGGAACTGTTTGAAATTATGGATTCTACAGGCCACATTCTATAAGAAAATTTTTTTTCCGGGACGATCTGAGACAATTTTTTTTTCGAGCCTCAAAAAAAGGCAGTGTATAACCTTCCTTTTTTACCAAAAATCGACTACACCAAAATTTCTCGGGAAAACACTTTTTCTTATTAATTTTGGTGCGTAGAATCCAAAACAATTCGTACTTTTTCGATCAGACTTCTCAATCAAAAGTTATAGACTAGAAACCAATTTCGAAAGAAAATTCAAAGGGCTGTAACTTTCGAATCAGTAGCCCAATCTTGGAACTGTTTGAAATTATGGATTCTACAGGCCACATTCTATAAGAAACTTTATTTTTAAATTTTTAATATATTTGAGTGACAAGTATTTGAATACTTTTTACTGTATTCGAATACTTTTTATAGTATTCGAATACATTCTAAAAGTATTTGGATACTTATTTTTTAAAGTATTTGAATACTTTTCAATGTATCTGTATCTAGTATTCGTTTGTGCTGGACGTAAAAGTATTTAGTATTCAAATACCTTTGATTTGTGTAAAGTATTTACTATTTAGTATTCAAATACTATTTTAAAGTATTCTGCCCAGCTCTGGGTGCTACCAATCAACACATTTTTGTGCCAGCTCGGAAAATGATTCTACCCGCAAAACGCATATAGTAGAATCGTATAAATATTATCAAATTATTCATAGAATCTTCTTAGGATCTTGAAATCTTCGTAGAACCTCTTTTAGAATATTTTTAAAATCAACAAATACCTTTCAACGCATTAAAATCTTCTTACAAATTTCTCAAGTGGAAGCAATGGCACTACAGTAGGTACCACTACTTATGAACTTGCAAACTTAAAACAAAAACCATAATAATATAGTAAAATAAAATATCTAACGCGTTATCAGCGAATTACCCTATTTATACTATGTATACTGTATAAGTAGGTAGTAATTCTAAGAGAAAGTGAAAGTCTATGAACTGTGATTGGCCCAAAGGGCCCCCTTCATCATTATTCATTAGGAATCGTTTGTTTTTACGCATCTCAATTTTCAAAATACCTACTCGTATCGTATGTGCGAGAACGCTAGATTTATCCAAACCCTTATTTTTTAAGTGAGCTTGTAACAACGAAGTTTTAAGGATCTAATTGTTTACCTTGATTACAATCTTTACAAGTTATTTTGTGTATTCCTAATTTATCCTTCATATCTACGGGGACTTTCGGATCAGAGCTGAACAAGTCTTAGGACCGTGGTTCGTGGTTTATCACAAAAATTATTTATGGACTGCAATTTGTACTGGTAGTGTTTCCTGATTTAGCATCTCTGAAAGGCCTTTCGTGTGATTTAAGCTTTTTATGTGACCGCGCCTTTTTTTAATATTCAGAATTACAATTCCTTTTGTAGAAGGATTTAATTATAAGCCCTTTTACGGCTCTACTCAAAATGGCTTAATTCCATTAGATTTAATTGACAGATGATTAATTAACAGACATTCGATGGCAGATCACCGTAGTGAACTTACAGATACAGATTCATCTTTCCGCCATTGTCTTCTAATTTTCCAAACATTTCAACACGTGTTGCGACATCTGGAAAGTATGCTCAATTATGATTCGTAGTTGGAGACGACAATCAATATCTACGAACTTTTGAAGTGAAAAGGGAGTTTACAATACCCACTCGTTAGTTCGTTGGTTTGGTAGACATCCTATCCTGTTTTCAACGGAAGAGTTGCCACGTTTTTCTCAACGTCTTCACAAATTTTGTCAAATACGCCTGATGCGATTAGGGAATTACTCAAATGTTATTATTTTAAGTCTAGAATAATCCTCTACCATTTTTTTTGAAAAATTTTACTTCAAAAGAATGTTTCTCGAATGCATAACTCCTTTTTTTGCACGTGTATGGTTGTTCAAACAAGCGAAATAAGGTATAGTTATGTCGAAAAGGAGTGATTGAATAAGAATCGTATCATGTTAAGTGTTTGCATGTTAACTGGTTTAATTCTATTTTTGCCTTAGGTAACAGTGATACTCTTCTCCATAATTCACAAATATACATTTACATTGATCAGGTGTTATGTTACAGTTCAGATTTTTAGAGCGTAATTAATCTTCACTAATGGCATCTATGGTCTCCTGACAATCGGAATTTAACCCCGAACGTAAATACTGAGCCAAATCGGCAAGATCCAACGACGAATCCCTCATCCCTATTTTCTTCAGTGCGGCATTGATAATACAAATATCTCCTCTCAATTCAGAAACCAAATCCGATATTTTGCGGGCGTTGCTCAGAACTTCTATACTTTGCGTGTACGGATTATACCGGACGCCAAAGGGCCTCTGTATTTGCTCCGCGAACTTTCTGGAATGAGATTCATAAAATTAATAATCGATTTCGAATTGAATCAGCACCTCATCTTCTCCTTGGCCTCCTCGAAGGTATCCGTATACCAATAGGCGTTTTGGTAGGCCGTAATGATGCACTCCTGTTTGCAGGTCACGTCGGGATCGAACCGGTGAATTTTATCGGTGGATGAAATCGCGTGCCGCAATTCGGCGACCGAGCTTAAAAGCCCGGCACCGTAGACTTTCATTTCGCCGTCTTGCTTGCACAAGCCGAATTCAACGGTGAAGAAGTACAACTGAAATGAACCGTTATTAACAAGGGGTTAAGGTTAATCGAAACGTACCGTGGCTAATTTTTCTACATCGTCATCGGAAGCGCCGAGGGAAGCTAGCCCTAGTTCTTGGGAAAATTGGGCGAAGCTCGGGTTGGCCAGGAGGGGCATGTGTCCAAGAAGTTCGTGGCAACAGTCCCTTTTTTAAAATAATTTTATTTAGTGATACCATTACTATTTTATTACACAAATCGTATAGTAGTTAAATTTGTTTTTTATTATACCTGAATCACAATCTCCGTTTTAAACACTCAAATGCGTGCGAAAAAGGGCCTTTAAAACACACGTGCTTTAAAGTTGCTAAGTAACGATACTTCAAGTATGACTTTTGAAACTGTCATCGGGATGAAATAAAAAATCCTCTTAGGTCGCTTTCTGTAAATGCAGAACATTTCTTTGGCTTTTGTACCTGTCCTTTGGTTGAAGCTTTCACAAACGCGCGTAATTTAGGGTATGCTACCAAATCTGTTCCACTTTTTAATCGCAGCATTGCTTTAAAGTTTTGAATGAATGCACCAAAATATAGAAGATTTAAATACCTTTGACATTTCCTTCATAATATGCCAGCATTATCGATGCATTTAAGACTTTATTCGTAAGTAACTTCCTATTCATCCATGGAAACAACTTTTCATATTCCTTATAATAGGCTTTACTGGATTTGGCTTTTACACCTTCCAACGTTTGTTTAGATTTTACAAGCGATTTAACGGACGGTGTATTATCTTTTTCAACGGAAATCGTTTTATTCACAAAGACAATGATTTTTATAAGCAAACGTCAAGTGACATTTCCATGGCAATCGTGAAATTACGAACACCCAGCCCACTTAATTAGACATGTATTCGAGTATAATAACGTCAATATGATTTCATTGTATTTCCTATTTTTAAATTATACTGCAGGTATAATAAAAAATACTATAAGATACACGTGCATAATTGGTCTTTAAGCACTTGCAACGTTAAAGGCACTCCGCTTTGCGTCGTGCCCTTAAACTCGTTGCGCGTGCTTTAAAGACTTGATTATACACTTGTATCTTAATATACTATTTGATCGATGTGGTCCGTTTTAATAGTTATTTACATAAAAGTCAGGAAAATGACACATTACTGTCGAGGAGTCGAGGAGTACAAGGCTCCTTTGGGGCCGAGTACTTTAATTGATTTTGATCTAGACAATTCAAAACGTGAATGTATTCCAAAAATATAACCCAAAAAGCTTGTATTATCTCCCATAAGTCGATGGAAAAACGACAGGTCTCTGATCGATTAAGAAGCGAATTATTCTACTTAATAGATCTTGATGTGGAGAGTACAAAACAAGCAAAAGACAACCGGAAAAGTATATAAAATTATTCAAACGAAGAACCAATTTAAAACTAGAAGTAAAACAGCATACGCATGATTAAAGCAAGTTTTTTGACAGTACATTTTTTTGCCACCGTGTCTGTTTAGTTCTCCATATTGAAATTATTTTCTTGCCAGAAAAACCGAAATTTGCCGATTTTGCTTTTATTTTTTTGTGATGTTAGATATGATATGATTAAGAAGGAGATCACAAACAGCCAATTTCAATATTGTGGTCAGTGGTGCCGGTATTGTTGACCGACATGAAGGAATCTACTTGTTTCGTTTAGAATTATAGCTATTATAAAGCTTCCATTCAGTGAGTCTATACATATGAAAAGGCACTTTTGGACATGATACCACAAAAAATAGGACGCAATCTTATTATTTGACATGTTAAGCGTATGCAACGACGAGTGTTTTACATTTTAACAACGGAAACATTATAAATCTAAAACAAAGAGTTTGTACTTACGGCTCAGGCGTGTAAAAAGGATCCGACGAGTGTCTAATATACTGAGTACAATGGAAAACTCGAAACGCTAATCCCGAAAGGAAATCCCTAGGCGATAAGTATCCTGCAACCGGTCGCAATTGAAAGCCTGTTTTCCTTTTCAAATAAACGTTCAGGTCTTGCAACTGTGGAATATTGTCTTCCTTATAACCGCAGTATTTAACAAGCTCGGGCCAATTTTCCAAGTACTCCTTGCAAGCGTGTTTCACGTAAAGTTTGTGAAGCTCGTTGAATACGGTCCCCCTTTAAATCAGTAATAGAGTATTAATTGAATAAGACGAAGAGCGTTTGCATCGAGATAAATTGCGCTTATTCACAGACAAAATTTGATTAATAATGCAAATTGGAGAGGCGTAAACCTACCACGTCTTGATCTCCTCTAATGTGTATTGTACTTTAGGTATCGGCTGGCCGCTAAAAATTAAAATTCATTTATTCGGGGGAGAAAAGGCGATAAATTATGTTAACGTCTACCATCTGTAATTCCTGGCAATCTGAGAGAATTGCTCCCTTCGTTTACGATAGATTGCGTCCTTGAATCCTGGATGGTCCGCATCCAATTCACTTCCATACATTAGCACATGTTGCGCGTTGTCCAGCTCGAAAATTTTCCGTGGAAACCAAGGCATTTCGCCGTAATCTGAAATGAGGGTTGGCACGCATATAGGAGATATCGAAAACGTAAGTACCAAAACTGGTGGTGCTTGACAAGGGTGCGGGTGGGGTGAACTCATTTTGCTCCTTGTACTTGACAAAAACCATGGTCTGCACTTCCCTTCGTAGCAGTATGCCAATTTGCTCCAACTTCCTCGGCTCACATTCGACGTCCACCAAAATATCGGACTCATTATTAAATCTGTCGGATATACGTGATTCGATGTGTAATAAGTTCACGCCTAAATCTTGAAACGATTGTAAAGCACGTACTAGACTGCCAACTTGGTTTTTTAGAGTGAACGTTATCGAGACACGTTCCAATTCTTGTCGATCTTCGCCAGAAGACTGGAACGTAAAATAGGAATTTACAATTAATAACCTGAAAGGTTTAATTCCATCGCCAGTTTAAATTTAATAGGCTACATTGTCTTACTCGAGTTTGCTTTTAGCGTTAAAACGTTTTCAAATCAAAATGACGTTTTGTATTTGAAGTGCTTAATTTGAAAGTTTAATTTTCCTTTAGTGCTCACAACGATTCTTAGAAAAACTCATCTATCTTTCCTCAAGCTTTTCTTATCAGTACTCTACACAAAAGCTTTAAAGGGTTTGTGGTCTTGATGTAAATACTGAACATAGAAGAGACACGCGTCTGACTTTCAGCAATTTTCCATGAATACGTTTCTCTAAATTAATATAAGCATGGTCCCCACACATCCTAGTTATACCTCTCAAAAATCATATCGTGGAATGAAATTGGCCCTTAATGAGAGTTGAGAGCAACTGGTTCTTAAATTACAATATAAACTTAAATTCGGCTCCACACATATTGATGACAAAAATCAAAGGCAGCAAATATATGTTCAAAAAATACGGACACCTACTTTAAAATAGAGTCAACAGTTACTGCATTCAGTGATAATAGTTTAGAAAAATTAAAATTCATTGCGAACACAATCTACCTGTTTGGCCTTAATAGTCGGTATCGGACAGTCTTCCTTAACCGCCCAATCTTCTCCACTGCGATACAGCCACAGTCCTAAAAGAGATTTACCGGATGCGCTCATTTTCTCTTAAGGAGGATATTTTCCGACCTGAAAACTATTACCACTGCTGAATAACATTTCTGAAGCTACATTTATAAACTCCCATTCAAGGAAGGTATCGGCTTGTGCGCAGCACGTCCCTTTGATTGGCCGAATCAAGAACATTGACGACTCTCTAAAATCCCAACTTCAAACTTTTAAAATCGCTGCTTTTTTAAAATAAAAGGAATAATGCAATTTTGTTGCAGAAATACTCGGAAATCTACCATCTTTCGCAAGAGATGCATGAAATTCAATGAGGTTGTTGAAAGATCGATGTTGATTAGGGAGAAACGTTGAGTGGGCTTTATTTATTCTCGTGAAATTTTGAACGTTGTATCTCTTCTCTTAGCGTGAAGAGGTTAATTACATCATTCCTTGTTGGAAATGCCACCCTTAACAAGCAACGCAAGCTTTTATCCTGTATGGGTGGAGAATCTGACGTTCGTGCTTTATCGAATTAACTTTCAGTGTATTTGGTGTCTTTATATGCAGATTGAACTCATTTTCTCTAGTAGGAAAAGTGACGCGTGCGTCCGTTAGTTCCTCAAACTACTTTTAACGTGCTATTGTTCTTAATTTTAGGAAAATATACTTGATACATTACAAATTCATCTCCATCTGTACGTTCTTCCATTTGTCCATGGCTACGACTTTAAAGGAAAAGCGTTATTAATCTGAAATTTAGGCAAGTATTGAAATTTACATTGTTACCTAAATAAAATCATTGAAATTGTTTCTTTTTAGCGCATTTCCACAAAAATAAAAAAAAATGCGCTATTGTGGCCACCTTGTCCGTCCGTCCGTCCGTCCGTCCGTCCGCTAACTTTGCGACGCTACTAGTTTTTTATCTTAAGAGCTATTGTTCTACTTTTTTCGCTATTTGGTTCGTTATGGTGTCGAGTCTTGTACCAAGGAAGGAATTTTTTCTGTACCGCTTAAAAAAAAGTTATTGTAAAAAAAACAAAAAACCGTTTTTTACATGTTCCATAATTTTACACTTTTGCCGTTTATTAACGATCCTAGAGATCGTTTATAATTTTGCATTGCTATCTGTCGTCTGCCTCTTGGTCTGTCCGTCTGTTCCTTTGTCTGTCTGTCCATCTATCTGTCCGTGTGAACGATAACTTTGTTTAGAAATGTTCGATCGCTTTTACATCTCCGTTAGTTATGAACTGAATTGCATGAAATTCAATATGGGCATAGCTTTAGCCATATAATACGCAATGCCAAAAGTTGAATCGAATCGATTCAAAATCACAGTGCCCTTTTCGCATCTCGACCATTTATAAACCGAATTGCAAACTTTTTTACTTATAAAAGTATTTGAATGAAATTTGATACATAGGCACTTGGAATAAAGGAAAATCAAACGCCAATTTCAAAATTTGGTTTTGCGCATGCGCAGTGCCAACTTTTTTATTTATGGAAGAATTTAAACGAAATTTGATACATAAGCACTTGGGATAAAGGAAAATCAAACGCCAATTTCAAAATTTGGTTTTGCGCATGCGCAGTGCCAACTTTTTTATTTATGGAAGAATTTAAACGAAATTTGATACATAGGCACTTGGGATAAAGGAAAATCAAACGCCAATTTCAAAATTTGGTTTTGCGCATGCGCAGTGCCAACTTTTTTATTTATGGAAGAATTTAAATGAAATTTGATACATAGGCACTTGGAATAAAGGAAAATCTAGCGCCAGTTTCAAAATTTTATTTTGCGCATGCGCCGTGCCAACTTTTTTATCTATGGAACTATTTAAGTGAAATTTGATACTTAGGCGCTTGGAACAAAGGAAAATCTAACATTAGTTTTAAAATTTAGGTTTGCGCATGCGCAGTTCCAACTTTCTTATTTAGAAAAGCATTGAAATGAAATTCTTCTCATAAACTGAAATTGAAGTAGCACGTCAACAATGGATTGCCCATGTGCAACGCTATCTTTCATATTTGTGGGCGGATTTTTACGATTTTAATAGAAGTTGCATCTTACAAATGGGAAATGAATGCAAGTGGAAATGCGCTTTATGTAAATCGTTTACGATTACTTTCTAACTTGTTCGTCTTTAACTACCTACCTATGTACTTTGCACGTGAAGTTAACCTAAAAATTCTCAATTAGTTAATGAGTTATTCACATTAGTTACCGAGGGCCTGTTTAGAAATAATTCAAGCATTAACAAAACGTTGTTTTTATCCAACAATCCACATTGGACACTGTTCCCTAAAAATTATACTACTTATTTCACTTTAATGACTTGGACTCTAATTAACCCTTTACATAAGTTATAAAAATGCCGAAAGCTATAGCGATTATTTTCAAATATTTAATATTTTCACTAAATTTTCATATTGTTTCGTGCATATTTTGGAGTTTTATGTCTACACACAATTGGATTCACCGAAAAAACTCAAATTTGCAGAGTTTAAGAAAATTTTCAGAAGTAATGATTCATTCGGTTACAGAATAAAATTTATAAGCAAAAGACAAATTTCTTGGAAAATGGAAAATTCGTTCTTGAGCGATTCTATTTATTTATGGTCACCAAATTTGACACCACACTTTACATTTGTCTGTATCGATCGCTGTAGTCACCTCAAATTTCTTATTTAGGCTCACAGAATTTAAATTTATCCGGCGGCGCTGCGAACTGCTACGAACGCTACGGTTGCTCTCTGGGAGTTTACGTTTACGTACCATAGTAATGTTATAATAAGGTACCGTCGGTAAATTGAGAACGGCTTGAGCAAATCCGTGCGAATTTCATCGGTTTTATGCTAGCCAAATTTTACTATAGTTCGAAATAGTTCTGTTGTTTGCTGAAGTATATGTCAGGCAAAAGCGACCATTTTCCCAAGCTATTTCACGTGAACCATCAGAAACAAGGGACATCATAAAATTCCGAGAAACAGTCCAAAGTAGTGCTCCATTGGATATTCCTGGGCATATCCCAAAAGTATAACAAAGGTTGGATCACGATGAATACAATTCTTTCTGTTGGCACTAGGTCACTGAGTTGTAATCCCAAATTGAAAATTCGTATACCACAGTTAAAATTGAGGCACAAAAAAACGTGAAAGTTGACGGACAACTCAACACAAAACGAACACAAATTAATAATAATAATATAAGAATAATAAACTTTATTGTCTCAACAAGAAAACCTAATCAAGGACAAAATTTAGAAAAGAGACAAAACTAAACGCTAGTTAATGTTGTACCTATATAAGCTAGTATTATTCCACTTATTAAATTAAAATGAATAAAAGTAAGAAATGAATGATAATGACTTAATTTTAAATTTTCCCAAAAATACTATTATTACTTAACCACCTTAACTTAATCGACAATTAACTTATATAAAATAACCGCTAATTTTCATCAAAGATGTCCACAATACTCGAAATACTGTTAAATTTATGGCACATAAAGTATAAAGGCGAGCACTGTGTTCGACACAATAGCAAATGAAAACTATACTTTTGAAGAAGATGAATAACGACTGACATTAAATGTAATTTGTTATGTAAGGTAGGTATTGCAATCTGTTTTATTGTGTAAAAGATTAATTAATTTTACGGCACATTGCTTTCTTCTCAGTGATAATGGCGTTAGTCCCCATCTTTCTATAGCATATTGGCTTGCGAGCAACCCTTTTCAGGGTAATACTCATCGTAACGAAAGTATTCTCTGTACATATTCAATAGCGTTGATGCACTTCTGGGATAATTGATTCCAAATAATTGCTGCGTATTCCAATTTTGGTCTTACGAGAGCTAAATATAAAAAATCAGCACTCATGTATAAACAAGGCCCAATATTTTCAACGACTTGGAAACCATGTCGTTTATGTGCATAGAAAAGGTTACCTACCTAACATATTGTCGATGACGATGCATTAGATAAAGGAGATTTGTATAGCATTAAATATAAACTCAGTGCAAGACGTTGAGAAAAAAACAATGAATATATACCTACATAAAAAGATTTGAAATAAAAAATGGAATTAAGAAGTCTGAACTTGAGAGAATCGAAAGCAATGCCCTAACGATGTGTTGCCTTGAAACCCAATTGAAATCCACTACGTTTTTAGAATGCAATTGAAAATATCGCATACTAAGATATACTTAGATTCATTAACACTGCTAAAACTAAATTATATTTGGAAATCCCACTATATCTCCCTTACATTTTGTTAACCCCCGTTTCTACAATTAATCATTTTAACTTTAGCAGAGAAATGTATCTGAACGTATCTGAGAATGTGTGAAGAGGCGGAATAATAAAACCCATCGTAGAAGACGATGTGGGTTGTATAAAAAAAGTAGCTCAACATATTATTTAATTCAGACTAGTGTCTTTACATTTATTCAATCGCTACTACTCAGTTTAATACAACTACGATCTAAAAGTTTGCACATTGGATTATTTAAAATGGTTTGAAGTCATTCACTCTTTCTAAGTAAAATTCCCTTTATTGGCGGATTTTCTAGAAATTAATGAGTGGTAGCCGGAACGACTATTTACTTAAAATATGCAGTCGTCTTTTAACGTCCATTGGAACTCTTGTACAATAATTTTTATAAAATATAAAATGTCCCAAACGTGTCTAAAATATCCTAAGGATCGAGATGCAACAGAATCGAGGTTCTAGGTCGGGGTACAAAACTGTACCACCCTTCCGCTGTACTTAGAATAGACTAATCAAATCTCAAAATTCTTACGGTTCGAGAATATTCCGCGAATGTTACTGATCCAGGGATTTTTAATTTCCAAAAAAAAATTGATTTCAGATACACTCCATGAAAAATGTTTAGAGAAGATTAAGGTTTGACATATTATAAAAAAGATGGCAAAAAGTTTCAATTATAATAAGACTAAACTCAAAATTTTACAGCCTTTCAAAAAGGTAGAAGAAAATGTTTCGAAGATTTCAATAATGGCATACTAGTACCTACTCAAAAGATTTAGCGTTCTACCACCATAGTCATCATGTAAAATAAAATTTAGGTAGGTAATTTTACTAACTGACGAGAAGTCTTGTTAAGAATCTATCGTTATAATTTCCATCATCCTTCACGAACTTGTTGAAAACGTTAATAAATCTTCTTATTGTTTTCCAAGCGTGGTCCGCAGTAAAACAAAAGAATATAGGTCAAGTCGATAGGATAATGTTTTATTTATTTAGGCAGCAGGGGTGGTATTTATAAACGCATCTGCGAATAATACGGTAGGCTGAAGCAGAATGAATTATTATTTGACTACAATGTAATCTTTCGGGGCACCCGTAACGTATTTAACGCATAAGCAGTCACAAGTCACATGCAAAATGCTGTTATTACAATCAAAAAGGAAGACGGTGCGCGTAAGGGTGAGGGTGTAATGCGCGCATGTTGGTAAAAGAGCTGGCGCCATACAATCGATATTAGGGTTTGAAAATAAATATGGCCGATACGGAGTTCGAAGAATTTAGGCAAAGCTTCGAAAAATTACCATCGCACATAAAAGCGCCCGCACCTTTTTATTCGTAAGTGTCTTCGTGGTGTTAAAGGGGTATGTAATCGTTAAATAAACCTTCACTTGCAGATTAGTTCATGATGTACTTATCGACGAAGACTCCCCCACGTCTTCCAAAAGTGATGTCGAAACAGACTGTGATACACCTGGAGATGACGGACTACCAAGCTCGGCCGGTGCTGTTGAAAATGACCCCTTATCAGGAAGCACGACAAGAGGTACTACGACCATTACGTGGGGCGGCGCCGGTGAAAGACGGAGGCGAAAGCTGCCAGAAATACCTAAAAATAAAAAATGTAAGTAAACGCACTTGATTCTAGTCTTAATGACCTTCGGGGATGCTTCTATTGATTAATCTCTGACAATAATAAAGATGAACGCTTGGAAATACCAATCGCAATTTTACCGTGTCTGTAAAATATTGATTTCACACACTTTTCGCAAAATCCTAGTGATATTTGAGATAAGTTCGCCGTTCGGCAATATCGCATTTCGTTCTTAATTGAAATATGATACTTTTAGTAGTACTTTCATTGCACTAATTACTTATTTTACACATATATTGCTCTTGGAACGGGTGTCAAGATCACAGTACAATATTGTGCTACATTTTCACCAAGGAAATTAGACTTCAAGACTGTTGCTTAAGCAGGTTCCGAGGTAGTTGCAATACTCTCGGAAAGAATGAAGCGAAAGTTCTTCCCGTTCTTTGAAATAAAATTGGGTACATCTCAGCTTCATCTTCTTAGAATACTTTTCCCCTGACAAATTTTTACGTTCACCGACGCATTTTTCGGGACCGGTAGCACCCCAATTAGGTACAGGGATTTCAATGATTGCACGTGCTTGCAGTTACTTAGCCAACTATAAAGATGCACGGATGGCAATCGTGATTTAGTTCTCCTAGGCAAGTTACTAGTGAATCCCCAGAATTATTCCAAGGGTGAGTAGTTTTTACGAGAAACAAGAAATATAATCCCTTATTCATTTAAAAATTTGATTTTGTACTGATCGCAGTTGTTCCTATTGAGTAATGGTAGGTTAAAAGACGGAATTTTATAATAAAGAAAAGTGGCCTTTAGTACAAAATTTACCCTCAGTATTGGAAAAGTCTTTGGGACCTAAGCCCCAAAAGCCCTAAAATTTGAGTCTCTTCCTTAATTTTTTGCAAGCCTAAAACGCAAAAGGATAAACTAACGTATTTACATGGGTTCTTGGGTGTTTATAAAGAATGTGAGCATTTATCCCCATTTCCTATCCAGAAATACTGCACACGTTTTCTTATTCGAGTTCTTTTGCGAGAAGACATCCATCAACGAAAACATTGTGACGCGGATGTAACAGACATTTTAAATATATCATTCCTCGTTATTTTCGAATTCTTCCAATTCTTCAGACTTCTCAAGATCTTGCTTTCGCTTTTTGGAATCCTTTAGATTCCATCAAATTTGTAAAATTCTTTTGTATTCTTACGATTTTTTCGAACTATTAAAATTTTCTTCACGTTCTTCACTTATCAAAACGAACAAGAAACAGAAATCACAATATAACAATGAATTTTCTCTGAAGTAAAATTACATTTGCTTATTGTCTATGTCCACAGTCAATTCGGCCTATTGTAGAGAAGTAGTGTTTGCGCTTAGATGCTCTGGGTGTCCTATTGGTAAGCATTTTTATCTCTATTTGCCTTTAAAATAAATACAGTGTGAGTGTGATTTTAAAACGTCGAAACAATTAAATCTAGACAAAATTGCGAGCTCAAATTCCGGGATGGAATGGCTTTGGACTGCTTACTAAGTAACTCGGTTTAACAACTTTCATAGAATTACCTACAATCATTGAATACGTGTTTTTATTCAATGCTACAATCTGAAAAAAATAGGAATTAACCACAAGTATACGCAATTGCAGAAATGTGGCGAACATATTAGGGAAAAGGCACCCTTTTTCATACTAAGGGTTGAATCCTGGGATGCGACTGGTGAAATTAATTGTTAGGATCAAACACCGATTTCGGCCAAGGACCGAAAAATGTGGGCAAAATGCGTTCTGGGCACCAGCATATTGGCAATGTTAGAAAAACCGCTGTCTGGCTGTTTAATGTAGCCCAGAATGCGTTTGGATCGTTTGCAATGCCCGAATGCGTACTGGCATTTGTCATATTACCAGAACGCGTCAAGTAAACTTCCCAATAACCGATTTTTTGTGTCGTAATAGAGGTAGACTTGTCCCGAGAATTATGTTAGCCGGTGTGCTTAGTCCTAATGATTCAGGACCTCAAAAGAATTATATAAAAAGAAGTATACATTTTAATTTTACCGGGATTTGGAATAATGGTAGGTAATAAATTCAAGTCAGCTTTTACCTAATTTTTAATCCATTAAAATCAATTTCTATTTTTAAATTTAAATATCATATCTACATAAAAATAGCAATATTTCATCCTATATTGGCCTTTGAACGGCATCAGACAACAGTAGTTGGACAAAGTGTGAACTCAATATTCCTATAATACATAATAATCAATTCGTTGGTTAGTATGTAAACTAATCAGTTCAGAGTAGTAAAATGATTCTTGATTGAAAATAGATTTTACTACCTATTTCTTTCACTTTTTTTTACTTATTTTTAAGTAGTAATAGAAATGTTACTTTGTGCTATAACCTATAAATATGCCGTTATTTTGGAAAATTGTCATTATTATAAGCAGAGATATTAGTCTGAAAGCCCACGACCAAGTTCGACAAGACTACCAGATGAAATATATATAATTAGTCACGTTATTAATGGGGGAACACGAAATGACGATGCTGCAATGCAAAAAAACTGGCGGATGCGACCTTCAATATCGCTGCAGCAACCACTTTCTTCACTGTTTTTCCCCAGATTATTTTTTGTCACATTCAAGAAGCACTTCAGCGTCCGTATTAAATATGCGAATTTTCCTACGTGTGGTACCTAAACGTTATTGAACAGATTGTGGAAATCAAAAAAAAAGCTCAAGTCGTGGTGGACGGCGTTGAATTGGCACCAAGTTGACACTTGGTAGGTATGTCATCGCAAATTTAATTTTCTTCTCGTTTCAGCTACCGTAGTCATGTATCACGCGCAGCCGCAGCACCTATCAAGGGAGACATCCTTGGCGGACGAATTGGGCGGAATGAGTAGCGGACCAAGTTCTCTCGTATTATTAAAATGTGAATATTTAAGAGATACCGACTCTCCGGACTCGGATCGGCTGCTAACCGACGGTGATAGTGGCCACAGCACGGCACATTCGCCTACCGATGGGCCTAAGTCAATCTCGCCCGTTATGGGCGCATCGCCGGCGCGTACAAGAGGAGGCGTACCGTATTCCGAAGTGGATATGTTAGAAGCCACCCACAGAGGTTTACACAAGTTCATACCACGGCATGAAGATGAGATAGAAGTTGAGATTGGTGATCCAATCTACGTTCAGAAGGAAGCCGATGATTTGTGGAGTGAAGGTTTGGTATAGGTATCTTGGATGCTTCTCACGGAAATTTCCAGGTGTCAATTTGCGTACTGCCCGAATAGGTATTTTCCCTTCTGCGTACGCAGTTGATAGTGACTATAGCGACTGGGACTCCACCTGCGAACACGGAAGACGTGAACGGTACTTGCTGGGTTATCTAGGTTCAGTCGAAACCCTAGCTCATAAGGGTACATCTGTTGTGTGCCAAGCCGTACGGCGGGTTGTGGGGAATTCAGCCGAACCAGTGCCACAGCCCTGTATATTAGAAGTTTCAGATCAAGGCCTTCGAATGGTTGACCGACGAAAACGAAACGTAAGCTCTCTGTTTCACCGTACCACGACTCATCTTGGCACTTTTTAGCAAAACGAACCTTGTATAGACTATTTTTACTCGCTCAAAAACGTATCATTTTGCGCTTTTCACCCACGAGACCATCGCTACTTAGGATTCATCACAAAGCATCCAACTCTTCAACGATTTGCTTGTCACGTATTTCGTGGTATTGATTCTACAAGACCAGTGGCAGAAAGCGTAGGGTAATTAACTGTTGTTAACAATTTAACGTGGCATACTTAGCAGTTTTGTTCCGCAGGCGTGCCTTTCAAAGATTCTACCAGAAGTTTATAGAGACTGCTTATCCCATTGAAGACATTTACATTGAATAAATTCAAAGCGCAATAAACCTGTACATAAGCTGTGTAATTTCCAAAACAATAAATTGAAAGAAAAATATTTTTATGAGATGAGTTATGAATTGGCTTGCTAGAAAACGCAATTTATATAAGATAATGTCTGTATATAGAAATCATATCAAATATGTTTTTATGTTGTGTGGTCTACACTTTATAGTGCATCCTATTATGATGTGTACAACTGCGCAAAAAGTAAGATCTTAATGTATTGAACGCTGCAATATAAACACTAAAACTGAACTTTCATTTCATTCCGATTAAAGAATGTACTCGTAACACGCCTCAACCGAATTATTGCTTTCTAACAGATCCATTGATTGCCAATGGGTTTCACCCCTATATATGCTCATAGGAAAACAAGAAGTACGTGTGCGTTTTGCTCTCGACGGCATTTGTTAACTAATGTACAAAATTTTCGTGCCGACTACCCAGTTTAATAAAACGTATCATTTTCGGAGGAAGTGGTAGTGATAGGGAAAGTGAAGCTTTCAATTAATTTTACTACATTGTCTGTTAATAAAAAATAGATTTAAGTCCTACCGAATCTATATTATTAATTGAAAATAGTGTCAATTTAAAAACATACCACCCCAAATATATGAGCCATAAAAAATACTACACGACAACAAAAACACGTAAACTTCAATGAACATTCTAATAGGGGTAGACACATAGTTTAAAAATTGTACAACAGATATTTTGTTACATTCTATATTCATTTTTGAATTTCACCCTCCAACATGATGAACGAATATACATAGTAACTGTAGGTGTAAATACAAGACGATCGGATTTCCGTGAAGGGGGTATTTAATCCAAAACAATTTTACCACTAAAACGTTTCAAGTAGGCAACCACAGATAATTTCAGGAAATTAGGTAATAAAGAAAAAAAGGGGGAGAGGGGAGGGGAATAGTATCTAGAATATTTATCAGCAGCGCAAAAGACGAGTGGCTGTTGCTGTTGCAGAATATTTTCAGTCCTAAAAAAGCTGAATCGACAAGGAAAAGAAATTTTCTGCACTCGATTGTCTAATTTTCTCGGAAGGGGTGTTTCCAATTTTTTCTCCTGAATCATGATATTTAGACTACAATTATTCATTATGCCGTCGTTTGCAATTCTTCCTTGTGTGATGTTTACAAAAAAAATATAGTCTATACATTTACTAAAGCAAGTACCTACAATTAGACCTACAACCACAGATATACGCGAGAATATACGTAAAGGATATCTGTGCTACAATGCACCTCCAAAAAGCATTTATGCGAGTCACTCTGTAATTAGGTGGAAGCCTGTTGCGGGCCCAGAAAAGAGAGGCACAATAAATAAATAAATAAAAATGCTGAAATGTGACCTGTAATTATAACATTTTGTAAATGGAAATAGAGCTTCTTTTCGCCCAACGCTCCAAGCTTGTTGAAATTATTTTGTTCATTTTCATCCATAACTCACAATCATGTCAACATTACACCCATCAACAGGGAGCAAGTTTACAGTACCATGTCATACTTACAAGATTTGATTGGATTGTACCATGTCATACTTACCTACAAGATTTAATTGGGTTACATTTATTATATCTAAATCGTAACTTACATTGGGGGAATAAATGGTCATTTACCGACTTACATTTATGTGTTCTCACTTACCTGTGGAATAATCTCGATAATGGCTTTAAAAAGTAGTCTTTTGTTACCTATAAATCGACACCTTTTTAGCAAAAATTACTAATTTAAGAACACGATATTTTTTAATGCAAGTTTCAAACCGAAAACAACTACAATTCAAAATCTTATGTCAAAAACATCCCCTGTTAACGATCGCATAGAGACCCTACAGCTTGTTTAGTAATACGAAATGAATATACTGCAGGGTGCAGACTAGTGAAATAATCGCCCGTCGCCAAAAACATTAATACCAATGCTAATCTGTCTGAAATCGCTACTCTGCAATTGCTGTTTCTATTTACAGTCTTAAGACCAATTAAATAATTAATATATTCAAAATCTGTTGTTGGTTGGAATGTTGAAGTCTGCAAGTAGCTAAGATCCGTTTCTCTCTTCGTATGTTGTACAACGTCACCATCGGTACCATCGTCGAGGAGTTTGTCGTTTATCTTCCTCCAGCAGTGCGATACGCGGCACTGGTAATCATTTAGTTAGCTACTTATCGACATCGCCAGTTCACTGCGAAAATCTGGTGATCCAGACGTTCTCACTTCGCATGAAGCAAGTAAGTACATTGACGTCGATGTGATTGCCGTTCAATGAGTACGCAGCTTATCAATGTATATTTTGATAAAATCGCAATCGTCGTATTCAATCCAATGGTAACGCTGTAGGTACGCGCAACCTGTGGGAAATGTCGAAGCATTCGCACTTTGCCTGAATGTATGGGCAATTCGCGAATTCCCTCGAGAGGGACAGGCAAAGCGCGAACTCGAGCTTCATTGCTCACCTTGCATGCTGCATTGGTCATTTTACATGCCTAGGGAACTTGCAAATTGCTGGATTTCGCAGTTTACCGGTGGAATATACAAATTGTGTATACGAGTGTTGAGCCGCATATCTAGCAAGTTGAGTCAATATTAGATTCAATTATATAAGCCATCACAAGACAAATATTTTGTTACATAATCAGAAATAATTTAACTGCGTGACTTTTTCGTTACGATAATGCCATTGTAAAGTCGTAAAGAATGATTACAGCATTCAGAATTGCGATAATTAGTTGCACATTTTACTTTCCCGTCTGTTTTTTTAGCACTTTCCCCAAGCTAACAAACGGTATATTGTTATTATCTGGATAATTCAAGGTTATCTTTTATTTGTTTATATGATCTCGAAATATATCGTCTATTAGTCTTATCTAGATACAATGTACATATTGCTTCTGTTCGTTTTACGATATTTTACGTGTATTTTTGCAACTTTGACTCCTTTACCACTTTATTGCTCGCCCCATCCGGTTTCTTGTTTGAATGGGTACAGTAATAATACACACAGTAACGGATAGCGCCACAAACCCCAATAAAATAGCGTATTGTATTGTTTGCATTTAAAAATTGGGACATAAACATCTTTGAAAAAGACCTATTTTTACACTTCGCTGTATCATGGTATAGGCGTGCCACTTACAATATTAGGTAGATACGTCAAAAATTCATCAAATTATTACTGCTTCTGTCATTTTCCATTGGGCCTCTAACAAATGTAAAAACGGAAAGAATCTACTACCTAAACGTTATCTAATCATCTAGATATATTTCCCACTGATATTTCCATAGTTCTCTCATTCTATCTAAATTCTATCTATTGAATGAATTACGTATTATAAGATCTTCAGTAATCGTATCTCAACGGTTTGAATTTTGTTTGTAAAAGATGGACCTATGTATTTATATTTCAGAGAAGCAAGCACATCTTATATAGCTTCTTTTCATGGTAAACAGTTAAACACTACTATTCTTTCAAGCCAGTTTTGCCGTTGAGATTTTACTCGTTACTTCGTATTCTGCAGTTTCCAAGTCATTAAAACCAAAAACGGGTGATACGAAATGTGCGGCACCTGCATTAGCTTTGCCCAAAAGAACCATTCTGTGAAAGAGCAACTCGTGTGGATCAATTTGGGGTGCTTACATCAAAAGTTTACAACACACATCTTTATGGCAGATGTTAAATTGACATTTTAATAGGTTTGAATGGGTCGACCAAGTCGCTCTTTCACCGTGAGGGTAGACAAAGTGACCCTTTAACCGCAACGGTAAATAAAGTGAAACAGATTAGGCATTCTAATGACATCTGTCATTCTTATTTCAAGTGGGACGCCGACCACCAAATAAAATGACGTTCAGAACATATGAAAATGCTGGTTCTATGGAGACAACCACGACGGCAGAACCTAAGCTTGCTACCCTTAATCTCGATGGTTAAAATATCTTATATAATAAATATTAATTTAAAATTTAATAGCTTTTATCAAAATTTCATTAGTGAAGCAACCATTCAAAATTTTTCAAAAATCTATGCGGAAACGATAAATTTCCATTACTCATTATTAATCAGAACCTCGAGGAAGGTGGATTTTTAAAGATAAATTGTTCCCTACCTCTGCAATTTCTATTTACAGCAGCACTTTTAAAGTAAAGTGCAACATCTTGAAAAATTTGAAATTTTTAAAACATTTAATAAAACAATTACTTATTTATTTATCTCGTAAAAAACAATAAAAAGCATTTCATCATCACAGAGTCACTATATTTAATAATATATTATGAGAATATGCAAAATCTATACAAGATTTATTTCTGTATTATAATTGCAAAATAATATTAAATTTACAAAGTAGCAGTCAGACTTATAACGTACGTGTAACACAGAATTGAATACACTTGTTTACACCACTTTTACACTTGTATCCATTGTTCACTTTCAACATTACATAAACTGTCCCTCGAAAAAATTAAGTATGGCCACAATCAGTCTTTGTTTGGACACACTTTCAGACTTTATGCCTTAAGAACTGATCCTGTTGGTATGTATTGTTCTTTTTGTGCTGAAACAAATGAGTTCAATTTAAAACTTCGCGAACGCATTTACGCTTACAGCAATCTCTTCTAAGATAGGCCTCTGATATGGTGGTGAGTGTAAGTGATCTGCTGCTGATTTTCGTCGTTTGTACAGATTCATCCCTAAATCAGTGCTGGGCGGTCGTTTTGATACAGTCTTTATTCTTATAGGGTGTGGAAGATTAGGGGAGCATGTATGGCGTTCTTCCGTATTTGGACAGTCTTGATTCTCAAAGGCAGATTGGGGACTTGGGGTTGAGCGGCTTTCTGAATCCGGTGATAATGGTAAATTTGTAACAAGATGAGCTATTGCTAATTCTAATTCTTGAGGATCTTCCACAGATTGCACCGTTGTATCCGCTTCGCCACAGCTTGTAATCTAAAGCAGAATCAATGTACCCACAGTCAACCTAATCTTTTTACTTACGGCTAGGGGATTTTCGGCTTTAATTAGCGCCGAATACCGTTCCTTCATTTCGCGTATCAATCTCTGACCTTCCTCTTCAGACACCAGCGCGTTGATACACACAAAACTTTCCACAGTTCCCGAATTGTTGATTTCCAAAAAACCGTAGGTTTTTAAATATATGAACTGCCCCGTCCTCGACAGCAAGCGATAGCAGGACGAACCCCTACTTTCGCCACGATCGTACACTAAAAGATTGAATTACTAAAGGAATTTGAAAGAGCGTTTTGAGCTTACTTTGTCTCAGTGCAATCATAACCCAGCGGACATCATCCCGATGCATGAATTTGAAAGCCGAAATACCAGAAACCTCCTCTGTCATATATCCGGCAACATAACTGATACGTTGATCTGCTGTCGTAATGCGCCCGTCTACAAGATGGCGCGTGACATATTCATCTTTAGTGGCTTCAATTAATCGATCAACAACGGCTTCAGGACGGGAAAGCTTTACAAAAAATATTAACACCTAAACAGTCATGTTAGTGAAATCACTTAGCGCCCGTCTACTACTTACGTTATTACTCGATCCTGATGAAGATACCACATCTTTTGAATTTGATCCGTTTCGCGATTCAGCGTTGCGGGCCGTCCGTTGCATACCCATGAAGGTGACCATTTCGTAAACGGGAGTTTCGGAACGAGGACCGGCACGCTTTAGTCTAGCGTTGAAGTATTTTCGCCATTCAGTACAAATAAGGTCCTCGGAACCTATATGCAAACGCATTCGATCGTGGTCATCTGTATATGTTATATTGTATATTGATTGGCCCATGAGATCAGTCTGCAAAGCTTCTAATTAGGAGAGAAAGGGCGAAGGAAATTAGTAACCTGTAAGTGTCCTAGTAAATTTTCAACTGTGTGTGATACGAATACAATTTTCCCAGTATTTGTAAGGATTAGTAAAAAACCGCTTAACTGCTCAAAAACTAATTGTTCAAGTACGAATTGATCCACTTTTGGAAAATCGTCCTCCGTTTGCGAGTTTTTCCCATTTAACAGTGCTAAAACAAGTCAGTCAATTAAAACAAGTAAAAGCACAACGAGTGACACAAAGAAGCATTTGCGAGAACACCTTTTTACGAATTTCAGACTAATTAGAACGTTCGGTTCGATGATTAAAATTTTCGCCGCCATTTGAATGTGTAAATATTTATTATTACGAGACACGTTCGTTGCATTAATTAGCTACACGGTACTTACTTTGATATATTCGAAGATGTGTAGCGGTAAGTCTAAGTATGCTAGTTTTATCCATTCTTTTGGCACTTCTCGCAACCATCGGTACCAATGTGGCCAGTTCTCCGATAAACGAATTTAATTTGTCTCTCCTCATCTTCTCAGCACGGTTCCGCATCTCCCGACTGCTACTGGAACAAATTAACATATTTGAAAATAGAAGCTTAAGTAAGTTTAATGTTTAATCAATGTTCATTTCATTTTCTGAAAAACTACCCTTTTGTCGGTTTAAACCGTTCTGTTGTTTCAACAACTTTGTATTATAATTTAGCGACTTGCATTTTATTGTAAAATTTTTAGTTACCAAACATTTTGGAGAAGTTTGGAAGTACGTTGGCCAACGTGGTTGGGTGACTCCATGTTTATTTATTTGCTAGTTAAAGAAAATTTATGAGTTCCCATTGAATTATATTCCCAGTAAATGATTATTAATTTCTATATCAGTAACAAGTTTTATATCAGAAACTTTAACGGTAGACGAGAATTGGCAAAGAAAGGCAGTGTGGTCGCCCGAACAAAACTATGCCCAAGGTCCGTGATTTGCTTCTCTGAATATTAAAGGAATAGAATGATACCAAATCCCCATTGATCAAGTTCAAATCACTTTAGTTTAGGGTTTTATCAAGAAGGAGAAATGATTGTATTTATTTAAGAAAACGAAACAAAACACCGATAGCGCTAATTCGATGGAAAAACTAGACAATTGCACAATATGTCATAATGTGACGAATACAATACAAACATCCTGTGCCATCAAAATATTCCAAAGCCACTAAATGAAATAACTGAAAAACAGAAAACAAATAAATATTCACAGTTACATCTCCATACAGTTATATTACCATATTATGAAAATCTATAATTCATAATAGCCGATTTATTATAATTTTCGACCCGTATTTTTCCACTATTCTATTTAGTCGCAATTTAACTTCGAGTGATACATTTATTAAGTGGTGTGGTAATCCCTTTAAAAAGATTCATTCTTTAATCAGATCTAACATTTTTTACTTATGTCACGATCGCACAAATTCGTACCTAATGAAACCTAAATGAAATCCTGAACCCATTTTTTTTATTTAATCGAAGCGATAAAAATCACATCATTCCATCTCATATTAATGAACGTCTTTGATAGAGTAGCTACCCCGATGTATATAACACTGAAAAAATTATCAATTAGGAGAAGAAAGTTTTAGGTACATAGTGCAATTATGAAATTGGATGAGGTACATACCTCTATGTAATGAACCTAAATTTTTTTAAGCGATCAACATCAACATCAACATTTCAGATGTTTTGGATATTTTAAATATTTTAGAAATGCTGAACTAAATGCTTAACAAACTCTTGTGTATTAAAGGTTGACAAAAAGATGATTTTTAAAGAACTCCCATTATTATGGAATAAGGAAAATTAGGGATTTTTATTGCTGGTATACACCCTAGGGCCTAGCCAAGATCTACTCCGCTATCAAGTTGGTCGGCTGCAACTGCAAAATTAAGTCTAAAGAAAGGTTACACAATGTAGAGACACAGAATGAGACCGAATTATGGTGTACCGAGCTAAAAATACAACCTGACTGTAAAGGTTGGAGTTAATGAACTAATTTAACTCTAATCAATGAAATAACACGACAATAAACAAACCACCATAATCAATTTGCTTCAATTATTAATATCAAATTCAAAGCGTTTAAACCATACCAAACTGATTGGAAAACATGAAAATTGCCCAAATACTTCGGCAGAACAAATTATGCACTTAGGTAACGTAATTTGTTCCGCATTCATACGTTTTTAAAGTAACATTCTTGTAAATTATAACAATAATTCTTAATTAGAATATAAAAATAACTTATCGTCGATTTTTGTCGTAAAAGCACACCAAGGAAATGTGCAAGCCAATGCAGTTCAATGACATTTGCATATTATCGTTGTATTAAAATACTACGCTATCAAACTAGGTTAAGAATATAATAACTTCCACAATTTTGCAATGTGTTAACATTTTGGCACATCTTGACACCTCGATAGAAAAAATAGCTATTGCTGTTACTTTTTCCGGCATAGTACCAACGTTCCAGAAATTGTCAATTTTTTTCATAATGCTAGTTTCCGCCTTTTCTTACTGGAGACTTAAAACGTTGGAAGAAAAGACCGATTTTTACGATTATGTAATGGCGAGTTTTAAACAAATTACTGACAGGCCACTAGTATAATGACTTAAAAACGCGGATTCTATCACACTGAAAATGAATAAAGTACAATTTCCTTGGTTAATTATAACGCTAGGTATTATTTTAGGTTAATCTACAAAAGTTACTATCAAGTATGCAAGTAAGATATTTTTTATGATCGTTCTTACGTGGCAATCAAGATGAGTGTTGTGATACTGATTGGTTCTTTGGTTCTTTCAGTAATGTTATGTCAAAAAGACCAGAGATTATTTTTGTTTGAACGCGGCTTATTAGATGATCTCTGCCGAATAGAATTATAATAAAAACTGAAACAAAAATACATTATAGAAGGGAAGCATAACGCTAACATTCACTTTTTATACTCGCATGCATAGCTACATAATAATTAATTAATTGTTTAACGTTTTTGATAGGTTTTAACAGTACGCCATTTTTTATGATGAGGGAACCAATTATAAGGGTTTCCTTTTACGGTAATTAACATACACTATTCCAAAAATTGTATTGAAAAAAACAAGTACGACCTAATCTAACAATAAACTTGTTAGTGACCTCAGGTCCATTGTGTATGTTGTGTGACGCAGATCGGCACATCAATTGTAGGGTGGTAATAAAAAATATTTCCACACGTGCAAATAATTGGTTCAAAGAGAGAGAGAGCGCTCGATTTATGTAAAAAAGTCAAGTTCTCTTTATGAAATTGCAAAAGGTAGGAAGAAAACCCCTTTTGTATAAGTATCGAATTTCGAAACTCCACCGATTCAGTCTGCTTAAATGGGTCTCTCAACAATGACAACAAAGAGATTTTGGCAAATTATATTTAATAAAATTTTACATTTAATTGATTCGCCGACTTGTGTTAATTGGCGTTGAGATTTTGATAAAACGGTTATATTTAGTTGTTTACAAAGTAGTTTTGATATCACGTTTATTTGAGATGGTATTTTTCAGGGATCTTTAAAACTTATAATCTTTAATCGGTTTGATATTGATTGTTTTCTAATAATTATAAGTGAAATCATCATTAAAGGTTTTTTCGTTTTTCTTTTGTTAAGAGTACTCTCCTTGGCAATAACTATCATCTAAATGAGCCGTAAAGATATTTTAGAAGACTAAACAAAGATTAGGTGCTCAAAATAATAACTTTCTCCATTACCCTAACATTTTGGCCAACAGTGTTGTATTTTAGGAATACTACACACAAAATCGCACCGCACATTATCTAATCTCTCTTCCGGAATTGTAAACTGGGCCAAGGTAACGCGAATTGGTAATGAAAAACCTTGTTTTCCTTTCAGATCGTCAACACTGATCAAAATCGATGGGAAAAATGCTCAAGGAACCCCCTCCACCAAACCACTGTTAAAAACATAACATCTATGTACAATGAATATTATCGCAACTTGATAAAACTACAATAAATGGCAAATGGCTGTTTTCGATCGTTTGTTTTATTTCCTTGAGGTCACTTTTTCGCCGATGCGATTTGATTAAAATTACAACGTAGTTTATTTTGCAAACATTAATACTGATTAAATAATTAATTAGATGGTTTCGAAGTATCCGTGCGAATTTGATCGATTTACTTTTTCATGCTAGGGTCTTCCAGCCTGGCTGGATGAGTTCTAAACTTTACAAAAGTCCACTGCTGCGATGGTAAGAACCAGAAAAGCTCCGTTGCATCGATAGGCCACCAAGATTAAATGTATAAAATACGTGACTCCAGCACTGTTAAAATAAAAGCTGCTACTTGTAGTAAAAAGCGAAACTGCGTTAGGATATGGGATTCATATGGCCTTTGTACACTTACTAATAATACAATAATGCACTATGATAATGTTTTATCGTGTACCTTTGGACTGCGATAGGAAGTGAAATATGTCCTTATGGAGAAGAAAAAAATATGCAAGCTCGCATAGTGCAAAAGCTGTGAGGGTCTAAGAGGAATTGTTTACTAAAAGTGTGCGACATAGACAAAAGAACAAAAATTAGTGTACTTTTAGAAGATTATTTTGTTCTGAAAACTTTTACACGCGGATCTTGGTTCTGTGGGTTCTATTAAAAGTGAGTAGCAGTATGAAAAAAACGTTTCAAAACCCACTCGTGGGGGTTGCCGCGTAACGCTATTGTAAAACATGATTTAACAGTTTACCAGAATACCGTCGATTGAGCGGCTGCCCAAGAGTCAGGGTGAAATGTGGCGGAGTCCCATCTTGCTGAAAGCAAACCTTTTTTTCGTATAATTATCAGCATATGCCCACTGTCATCCACTCGACGCTCCAAAGATTGTGTGATCAGATGGTCTACCACTTCTTCCAATAGATGCAGATATACTCTCCCTGTTAAATTTCCTTCTATAAACATCCGCCTAATAGCCTGATTGCCCAGAATATCCACCCAAACATTGATTTTCTGCGATATTCTCTAAACAACTGTCGATTTTGATTACGCCGCAGTACCTACAATTGTGTTGTACCCAAATTCGTTGAAAAGATAGTTTTCGTTGCTAAAGCAGATGGTTTTGGAATAATTACGATCTTCATCAAATGAGTGTCGTTCCTACAAGTCAATTCTCCCATAGAAGGTATTTAAACAATGCCCATACTTCGCACAATCAGAATTGTATGAACTGGATCAGTATAGTCAACTTTGCGACTGTTACAATTTAACGTCAGAGTTGCAGTAAACCGAGCATCTGAATTTCGGGCACATTGCATTCATTGTCTATTACACACTGGTCCCATGTCATGAAACGTATGCACCAACCCTATGACATACATTTGCCCGCTATTCTTATGGGAACGGATCGGATGTCATTGAATGCTTCAGCATTCTACGCGCACGTCGATTTTCAGATCTATGCAAACAGTCCTTTCAGCAAAGGTGCATTCCATTTTTTAGGTTTCAACTCAACGATTTTCTGAGTGTTTT